ATCATGACGGTTAAGTGAGTCACATCTGATTTTGCTATGATTGTTAAATAAACCACTGCAGTTGTTAAGTGAATCGGTATTAATTCATTGACTTAACTTGTCAGAAGCCAGCTGGACAGGTCACAAATGGTAATCACATGACCCCAGGACATTACAACCATTGTAAATTCATGGTTACCAAGCACCCAAACATTGAACATATCATCATGGGGATGCTATGCTCTTAACTATGAGGAGTGATTGTAAGTCACTTTTTTCAGAGCTGTAATTTGGAATGGGTACTAAAGAAATGGTTGTAAGTTGAGGACTACCTGTAAGGCTATAGTTGAGTCGGGGTCATAAGAAAAAAGGGTCCAAAGTTGTCCAAACAACACTGAATGAACTCTGTGACCCTCACAAGAAAATCAGAAATAGGAAAAGGATCTTCAATGCTTAACTGAATCAAGAATGAGACACAGAAGAGCATTCCCTCTAGCAAAAGTTTTATTTAAAATATAAAATAACTGTGACTTTAAAGCACATGTACAGCAAAATGAGGCAATCTTCCTCTATTTTCTTTTACGTGACTTTTCAATCTGGGAAAATATTTCTACATAGTACATTCTGCAAACATACTACAAGAATATAATGCCCTGATAATGCTGTACATCTTTTTCACACAAACTACTGAATAGAATAGCCTTGCCAGGTGCAGTCTATTAACAGAAACTGTTAACTCAAAGGAAGCTTCAAAAATTGTGAAACTGTCCTTGGCAAAACAAAAAAACAAAAACCATGCTTTATTCTTTAGTATAAAATGTACAAAAAAGCCACACATCTCTTTGTGCAGTGTACCATAAATTTCTTGCTTCTATTCATTACATTCCACAATTTCCAGATATCACTATGTTATTTTTGCTAAGCTTCTAATTCCTCTAAAACACGACTGTACTTTGACTCCGTATTCCTGGAAATATGTTTCAAACTGAAGATGTTGGGAGTGTTGAAAGAGCAACCCAACCCTGAACCCAAAGCACAGAAGGAGATCCTGGATTCAAATAATAACTAAAGAGAAAAATGTATCCAAAGGTTTTTGGGGGGTTAATTTCAAAATCCTATTCTTCAAATAAAAAGTAACAAACCAAAATATGCATCTCATATTAATCTGACAAGTGTTACTGTTCCTCTATCAAATACTGATATGTGCCAAATCATTTTACAACAATTTCATAGGATTTCTGTTGGCTATAATATTTCAATTATTATTTGCCTTGATGAGAATCTCACTCAAAAAATATCAAGAACTCCTCCATCCTCTTGCCTATGGGGATTCTCAGTCATCCAAGTCATGGCTGTCCCAAATGTGTTTCTTCAAAAGGCAATTAGACTTGTTTTTCCTGGAAAACGAGTCCAGTTGCCTTTTGGAAAAGCACCTTGGGAACACCTCATCCTCTTGTTTGTTCTGTAACCACTCTAATGTCTTACATTAAAGACTTTATTGGGAGGGGTGTATTGAAACTGAAGTCCGAAACATCTGAAGTGTACAAAGGTATGTATACTACAGGTCCATACAATCTTTTGAAATGATTCTTATACATGTATACTACTGAGAAGACTACATTACGAATAGGAAATATAGCAAATCTCTACTCTTTCAGCATATAGGCAGAAATTATCTTTCTTTTAGTTTTCTGGAGTGCAATCTGTTAGGAAATCACAATGAATCTCCATGTGAACAATGTTTCAAGTAGGGATACACAGATCTGCCAATGTTGGTTTTTGTCATTCCTCATTTCTATGAATACATCCGTTCAGTCCTTAATTTCCTAGCCTAAATACGTCAGGCTTTTGAAACTTGAGAATTTTGTAAAGGTTGTATTAAAGCCCATTTATGTTGTGTGTACATTTTTTTCCATACAAGCAATTCTTCCCATTCTATTCAGTTTTTGCTAATATTTAAATACAATGCATTCTTTCATGTATATTGCCTTTTAGGGAAATCTTTTGCTAATGTAAAATTTAATTGCTGCATTGTAAAATTTTAATTTTTGCTTTGCATAAGTTAGAGATTTCTGAATTTTTAACTAACTTTTGCTTGAAATAGTGGTTAAATTAGCTAAATTTTTATTCAAAAACACATTAAACCAATTTTTCCACCTCCTTAGTTGAACTAATCACCATGAGTTAGAATAAAAATGAGGCAGTTTGTGGGTTCAGTAATTTCATCTAACCTTCTGAAAGCTGAATCTTCAAGTAATATAAACAGCCTCAAATATAATTTAAAATAAGGTATGTGAAGCAAAACTGAAACACATTATGTTTTTAGTACAATGTGTGGAATCAACCACTGGATGCTGAAGTACATCTTTTTCCATTTGTAGATTAAGAGCTTCTATTAATTCTCATCTAGAACGGAAGAAAGAAAAAGTTTCCTGTCTATAAGCCTTCAAAAGAAGCCATGCTGTGGCTACCAGGTTAGAAAATCAGTTTTCTGGTTGTAAATATCCATACATGTATCTTTCATTAATGCACCTGAAAGCCTGCCAAAGTGGATGCAACTGGAATTAGTTTTGGATATCTCTTTTATATATTCTTTTTCCATCTTGGACAATTACTTAGGCAATATTTAAAACTGAAATTCATGATGTCAGGATGAGCACACAATGAGATAGCTACCATTGAAATGAAGATTGCAGCAAGCAGGTGGCTTTTTCCAGATTTTTTTTAAAAATAGATATTCCACAGAATTTCTATTTCTAAGATTTTGTGTAGACGTTTATCTACAATAATAGGAAGAATAAGGAAGGGAGCTCAAAGTGAAAGTAGATATTATGTTGTCAGTGTGTGATTTTAACAGGGCTTAAAAATATTTAAAATGCTAATAAAACCATGAAAGAATAAACATAAGAATAATAAACATATTATTTCATTAATAAAAGAAACTAAATAACCATAGTAGTTTATTATACACAAAATTGGCCATATCTCTGTCTTTCCATAAAGTTAATCCATCGTCTTTCTGTTGAATAACATGGCAGACGATTTGTTTGCTGGCTCAGATGGAGAAAGACAAGAAATGTAGATGTAAAAGACACTCAACTGTGTCTTTGCTTCTTAAGATACTATAATTTGAAGATTCCAAGTGAAACCTGATTAACATCACTATTCATAGTATTTCTCCTGGTTTTCATGCAGAGTTGTGGGCTTCAGAAATCCCAGAAATGTTTTGTGTGATAGACTGAACGTTGTTTTTAAAATGCCACCTGCTTCTGAAAACAAACCCCACTGAGTTTCAAACCTTTGTGTTTTGAAAATTTACCCTACGTATATCGTGGCAAAAGCCAATGAAGTAATTCTCATTACTTTACAATTTCTTTTAATGATAGAAAAAGTAACAGAAACAAAGTAATAGCTTTTAAAGGCATCTGTGCCTGTAGGTTTCTGATGGACCAAGAAACAGAATTTGAAACATTAGCTATCATTAAGTGCTATTACCATGGTATGGTAAGCTAGAAGAGAAGCAACTGAAGTGCACACTCCCAGATGGTCTTTAAAAGGAGTTATGCACTTAATTGCTTCAACTACATGACTCCAGCATAAGTAATCTACAAAATAATTGTGGTTTCTTGGGTAAATAAACATGGGAGCATAATAATCCATATGTTTTCTTTAAACTCATAACCAGTTGAAAGTTTTCCCAAAGAAATATCAAAGTTCATAATAGAAGAAATAGAAACTCACTCACTCTCTGTGTGTTTGTGTGTATGTGTGTGTGTGTTTGTGTGTGTTTATGTGACCACATGGAAAATAGAAGGAAATTAAAAAATATAAGGAAATGAATCAGAACCTACTGTAGAAAGAATACTATTAATGTTCTAATCCAAAACTTCTCATTTAGTTAACCAATTCAATTACTTTTTTTAATAGGAAGACATTAATTGTGTCCTTGAAAGAAAGCAACATTTTTTTCCATAATGTTTCTATCATTTGGGAGGAAAATAATAAAAAATATCTCAAAATGTTTCCTGTTTGTTTTAATTATCTAAGACATGAAAGAGTTGTAAGACATGTTTTTCTGACACTTCAAAGGTTTTGTTCCTGCATGTTATTTCTCAGAATTGTTTTTGGACTACTAACAGAAAATAATATTTTCAGGTCAAACTGCTGAACTGATTCAGTGTTCAGCCTCCAAATATGGCTGCTGAACAAGCTGGTTAATTTTATGGTTAGCTACAATGCTTCTACAGAAACTTCAGATGCTGAAAAACTACAGTGGAAGAAAACCAGTATCTTCATTGATTGCTAGTAGATACTTCAGAATTATTTGATGACCAATCTTGGAAACAGGATATCAGTTTAGAGACATCCTCAATCTGATCCAGCAGGTTTTTTATGTTTTGAAAACAAAGACATAACTATTTTCCTTTCCAGAGCAACGTTATCTACAGTATGTCCCATAACAACCCAAAAGCACTGGCAGCCAAATGCAAAATAAAATGTTAGTGAAAAATTGGTTCTGCCCATAATATTTAATTTGAAGAGCTCAGGTTTTTTACATCTCAAAGCTCCTTTCACAGCATGTTTTTTATTCTGTATTTCTTAAAAATATGCAGAGGTAGCTCCATGTTCAACTGTCATAATATAAACAGGATTCCAATCAATAAACATATCTGATTATCTCATAGTACATTTTCCTTGATAGACAATAGTATCACATATGGGCAGAATACCACCAGTTAAAACAATCAAGAATTAGATTACTTCATTATCCCTGAAGCGCTTTTTACTTATTTATTCAATTTATATTCCACCTTCCCTTCAGAAGCTCACAGTGGCTTACTTGCAATTCTTCATTTCATCTGCAATCATTGTGTGAAATAGGTTGGACTGGGAATGAGTGACTAGTTGAAAGTTATCCAGTGAATTTCCATAGATAAAGATGCACTTGATCCTGAATATTCCCAGACCATGCCCTATACTTCATCTACCACAATATTATACTTAATTCTCCTTTAATCTTATCCCCATACAATTTTTACCAAAGGCACTTACCATGGTCATGGGCAAACACGAAAAAGTTGATTCCTGTCAGCATTTTGGCCAAGTCATCATAGCGACAGCAGTGTTCTCCAGCACCATGGACAACAAACACCAAGCCCCTAAAGAGAGTATTAACAGAAAAAAACATAAAGGTAGCACCTAAGAAACATCAAACAAGCTATTGTTATTTATTTACATGTCCAGGTTTAATCTTCAGAATGAACATCCTAGATGTTTCTTGGCTCTGCAGTTCAACCCTCCAGAAGACAAGCAAACTCTCCACCACCTGTTAATCTAAGAATCTCTTCTAGATGCCCTCATACAGAACTGACAGAAACAAGAGTTTTTGGTAATACCTCTTTTTCCTCTGATGCCTTCTTTGTAGAAGCTAACTTGGAGATTATACTGATATATTTAAGGAATCAGGTCAAAACGTACTTTTCTTTCTCTTTCTTTTCAAATCAATTATAATTTTTCTTTTGATGTTTATAGTATTATTTGTAATGCTTTATATTGTTAACTGCTCTAATCACTCTCAGATTAAAAGGTGTGGGATGTAAATAAAGAAACAAAATGTACTGGCTTAGGGGACAGAGCAAGCTAACTAGCTAGGAGAATGAATCCAATTTACTCTGTGGTAGAAGATATAGAGCAATGACTAACTAATATACCTTTCTTGCCTACAAAGACACCAAATGAAATCCATAGTCCTTTCATTACTTTCTGCTTGGAACTTACTTATTATAACACATTTATAAATAATGTTATGTATTATTGAAACAGCTTTTATGGGCTTCATTAAAAAAAGATCTACAATAAATTATACAGCACCTTTCATTAATATATAGAATCATAATATAACATCATTAACAGTTCCCACAATGTTCTTAGTTATCCACATTCTCTATACAAATCCTCCAAATGCCTATTTAAATAATCAAGTTTTGACGGAACTTCTAAAGAATAGCAGTGAAGAAGTAGGTCCGGGAGAGTATTATGGTTCAGTAGCACATCTTCCATTTAGAACAGTGCAAAAATGTGAATAATGTGTAAGCGTGACATCAGATCATTGATGGCCCATCATTGCTTTAGTGGGAATAGTCAGGTCTGCAGAATATGATGTATTTGTATATTATTATTTTAAGCAATCCAAACACACTTGGGAAGAATGTCCACCAAACAGTTCTGTTTGTCAGACCACCCAACTTCCAGGTAAGAAATCCAACATATCTGAAGTGTACCAGATTGGGAAGTCTATACTAGGACCACAGTTCTGTTCTTCAGGACTTCGTTCTATTGTTTATTTTCAACCCCAGATACTGCTGGCAAGATTCTTCAGCTATATTCCAAGAAGAAACCGGAGCAGAAAATACCATATGTAGGGCTTTTCCTGAATATGCTGTAATCAAAGTAAGTGCACAAAAGCCTCTTGGGAATATCTGAGCTGAGGTAATTTCTACATGTTTGAAAACAGGTTCTGCATGTATAACCTGCAACTACTACTACAAAATGGATTGCCACACCCACTGGTCACTGACATGCAGTTGGTAAATCTTTCGACTGCAACTTGGTGCATATTGGGTTGAAAATGAGTTCTAATGAATCCAATTTGGAAAATGGGTTTCATGACAATGTAATAACCTGATTATGTAACAAACACTGAAAATAAATGACCTGCCCTTAACTCACATAGACAGCAAATATGATGAACTGTGGGGTCTCGTTCTCCCTTGCTGAAAGCTTGGGTAAACTGCTAGGCTTTCATGTTTCTTCTAAAAAGCAATATATTTTTTATTGCCATTAGATCAGATTTAAAGCAAGATTACCTAATATTGCTAAGTATTGGTAAGAATTTGTCAGAGAATTATTAAGTGGAGAGTCAAAAGTTTCTTTCAATCTATTAGTCTATCAAAATTATTAATCAAAATTATTAATATTGAAATTACTATTGTTTTGGTTGAGAACCAATTCAATATTAAGAGAGCCATGTAAAAATGCATCCATGAGGTACCAGCTTTAATAGGTAACAATTAGAAATAGACAAACATGGCCTTTCAAAATTCTCCCCATATTTTTGAGCAGAGAAATTATATGGATGATTTCTCAGAATGTATCCAGGAAAATGGAGAAATTTCATAAGCTGTAGCAAGGAAGTAACTCCCTCAGTAGCGACACCACCACCAACTACTAAAAAAAAATCCATAAGACTAGTTCCTTGTGACATATTTCCTTGGAGCCTAATAACAGCAAAAGGCGTCTGACATCTAAAGACAACTGGAAAAATTATTCTGCACTGAAACCAAGATACACACTTCTTGGCACTTCATCACTAAAAAAAAGAGCAAGGACATCATATTCTACCCAAGAGAATGTATCTGAAATTCTCTTTTTCTTTGGAAGAATTATTAAAGCAAATACTCTTTGATTGAAATTCTCTTTAGCACTTGGGAGGTGCTTACCAGCATAAAGAATTTCCAGGCCAAGGCTATACTATAGAAACTAATTTGCAATTATAAGGTTATCACAAACTGTAATGAGTCTATGACAATTTGCTGCAATCAACTCGGCATGACCAACGCACCATGGCCAACTCGCCACAGGACAACTTGCCACGACCAACTTGTCGCAGGACAACACTAATATCAAAGAAATGGTGGAATAGAATTATTTAAGAAAGGATGAAATAGGAGGGACAGAATGAAATATGAATGACAAAAATTAAAATATATTTTTTAAATAATTAAATTGAACTGTTAAATTGTCCCACAGCAAATTGTCCCATGGCAAGTTTGTTGTGGCAAGTTGGCCGCAGCGACTTGACTGTGGCAAGTTGTCCCATTCCACACTGTAATAGCCACCATCACTGTCCAGCAATGCACAGCTAGAAGCCTTTAACCTTCCTCAACAAATGCTTTTGGCCTATTCAATGTCCAAGTTTGAGATAGTTGCTCAAATGGAATATGGAAGGAACCAAATTTTTCCTTCCCTCATTCTTTTTACCACTCTCCCAGCATCAGGCATACAAAACAAGATCCTGGTGTATCTGCTAATTTCTGGTGATTCTTTTAGCCATAAATTTCACTCTTCTTTTTTTCCCATGTAAAAATCCCTAAGTTGTTGAAATAATTAATTAGTAAATGGCATATTGCACTTACTATATAAAAATAACCTGTTACTTTTTTGTTGTTCCCAAAACTACTGCCAATCCATTTCTCAAGTTCCAGTGTTATGAGTACTCTAGAAAAATATTTTGGAATTCTACCTCTACATCCCAAGGTTATATAGGAAAGGCCATTATACCTTGGGTGGGGAAGCATATAGTCATAGAAAATAAGGAAGATGATATTGATAGACACAGGTGAGATATAGTATCAAAGGAAAGAGTATCTTAAGTCTAAAATAAGTAGATAAGTGACTGACATCCTTAATTCACATGGGTATAAGAAGGGGAAACAGTACAGCACAGACTTGCAAGATTCTGTTATTATAACCTGTATAAGTAAAAGTAGCATTAGCCTTCCTATGGAGTTGATTTCCTACTTTCATCTTCCTAATGGGGCTGACAGGTGGCCACCATCTGCTTCAATATGTAAGGTTGACACTACTAACCTCACAGAGATGAAGTAATTTGTTTTATTGAGGCATTTCAAGTCCTTCCTATGGCCTCTCTACATCCAGCTTAAGGCCTTTCTGCAACATAGTGCTAAAGTATTGTTATGCAATACAGGATCAGCCTTAAAGTATGCTAGCTTAAAGAAGTGCTGATAGTTCTTCCAGCTCCTTTTCTCCTCTGTCCAAAATCATATAAGAATTCTATCCATACAAGGGGAGATGAAAGAGAGGCAAGGTAGAGAATAACGTCAAGCGTTGTGTGCGCTGTTAGCAGAAGACTTGAAAAATCTTCTCTTGTCAATTCTAGCTGACAGAGTAGTGTGATAGAATTGTGACGGAAAGTTAAACTCAGCCATCTTCTAGACCACTGACCTGTCAACTTGGACTATTCTGGACAGAAATTACCAGTCATACAGAAGACTAATAGACTGTTCTGCAGTTTTTCCGGTACTTTTGGTTAGCAAAGGAAGTGAAAGAACCCTTTTCAATTTCATCTCCCCCCCCCCCTATTGCATTATCTCAGGCTATAAATATTGCAAAGAAATGCTGGTAGCAAGTGGCAAAGCATCTGGAAGCTTTGCATGGGATAGGAAAAAAATAGCATTACAGGAGTCATTTACAATCATTCGCTATTGTTTCTTCCTGTAGCAAAATTCTGCTCGTCTTTATCTAAAAAATATTTTTTTTTCAAATAAATATGATTATGATCTGAAAAAGTCTTTGGTAATATCTTTCCTTTGAACTCTTAGTGGCCAAATTCTTTGAAATCCAAATAATATCAATTCTTGAAAAAGGTCTACATCTTTCAGAAAAGTAAGTATATTTTCTTGAATCACAATTTTTCTGTTTCCATACACTAATTGGTCCTAAATTATCCATCAGATTAAAAAAATGGTAATTTGTCCTAAGTAATTCCAATTTTTTTTTCATAAGTTCTATTCAGTTGTGGGAAGGTTTCACCATTCCAATCCAATATCAACCACCAATTTTCATAAGAAAAACCTATTAATCTCCCCATAAGGGATTTATAAAACACTACCAGCCAAGGAAAATGGGGGAACTACACTGTGCATTCATGTCCTTAATAAACAGTCAGATGTCCTCCCAAATGACAAGGTGGATGTGCAGACAAACCTGTGATATCTGCAGGAGCATTTTGCTTTTGTCATAAGGAAAAAAATTATATTATGCTCCAGGTTTTGCCACTTCAAACTGCATATACAAAAGAGACAGAGCTAGTTTTGTGACACTGCAATCATTCTGCCTACCTCCCCCGAAAGTCCCCCACCTCCAACCATTGCTAGTCATGCTTAAATTGGGCCAGTTGAAATAAAAAGAACTTAAATTAGTCATGACTTATTCAAATCTCACTGTTTCCAATGAGTCTACTCTACGAATGGATAAGTTTGGATCCAGTTCACTATTTATAACCTGCCTCTTAATTACAGGGATTCATGCAGCAGCTACCAAAAGGATATATATGTAATCATCAACAAATGAAGCAATC